TTGTCCTTGAATTAAGTGGCTATCAGATACTTCAACATATTTTTCATTAAACCCGCACCAAGCCTCAGAGGTAAAACTGAACTTTACAGGTCAAGATTCAGGAAGGTGTAACTTTGGCAGATATCAGCGRACTAGTTTTGATGTTTTCCATGTACTCCAGCAAACGCCAATGAGTTGACTTTCCGACTCAGTATTTCGCCTTCAGTTCAAAACTTCTTTTATCGTTGTTAATGTTTTAAGGCTTTTCAACAGACGTAAGCAGTTAGGTTTTTAAGTGCGAGAAATTGAAGCTAGACTAGCTTCCCATGCAGCAGCTTCGCTCGATCCAGGGATTTCCTTGATCACTACAGGCTAGTCWAGCGAAAAGGGACAGGCTTTTTCCTACTTCGTGGTATTTTCAGTCAATCAATTGAAWTTCACGAACGTTAATAAAAAAGTTCGGGAATCGCAAAATTCTGAGAGTTAAAAGGAAATCGAGAGGAGAGCAGACGAGGAGGGAGAGAAAGGTTGTGAGAAATCAGGACACGAATGGAGATAGCTTTAAAGAAAAATACGAGAAAAGAGAATAGGATAAGAGGTACACTTTGCCTCATGGTTAAGGTTAAGGTTATGGCCACTTGCATACATAGAAAGCTCTGTCTTACATTTCAACAAGGGTAACTTGTAAAAGTTTTTAAGTCCCTGTTTTGCTTACCAATAGCTGACGCAGCCAAAAGCTTCGTTAGCGGTACCATCTCAGGTCTACCACTACAGCCAGGGAAGATCGCTTCAATAACATACGACGCAAAYGTAAGAAGAATAATCGCCAAGGCGGACGGCTTATTGACCAGTACTGTCGTCCATGCGAACATRAAMSCAGGGAGMGGACCAAATCCTTCACGCAAGTAGGAGTATTCACCACCAGATTTAGGAATAGCAAGACCAAGCTCCAAGTAGCTCAAAGCCCCTAAGATGCTCAAAACTCCACAAAGACTCCATATAACTAACGTCAAGCCTCCAGACCCTGCGTACACCATTACCCATCGGGCAGATGCAAAGATACCGGATCCAATCATAAGACCCACAATCAATGAGATCCCTCCAACTGGCCCTAGTGTTCTTTGTAACGCTAAAGTCCTTGCTGGCTGCTTCTTAGTAGAAGCAGAAGAAGGAGAAACCTCGACCATATTTTCTYGTAGTGATGCTTTGAAATAATATGAATCTGCGTCGGTACGGTGTCAGTCACTAGTAATGCGCGGAAAACAGTGCATCGGCATTAATATAACTATACACTTAACCTTGGACTTCGTCCCTCAAGGACACGTGYGAACTGCTTCTAAGATCAGAAGCATTTAGGATCCACGTAAGGGAAGTGAAATCTTCACAGGGTTCGATTAAATCCATTGACTGTGACCCTATACAATGATCTGTTATCGATGAGTGATGATCGCCTTGAGTTTTACGAGGGCTGCACTGTCACACGTGGTCCTCGTTCTACCAAGACTGGCTTTCAAGTACATGCTGATCACGAGAAAAGCCTTGGAAATACAGATGAGAACCAACAAGCATCTCTACTCCTATTTATGATGAAGAACTGGCATCATGGCTGCCGGCATGTGATGCTGATAAACATTTCCGGAGGGACACGCAGAGGAGGTACGCCCGGCGGGGAGGTACGAAGCACGCGAACGACCAAGCGACTCTACTCGCATTTACGATGATGACGGGTTTGAATGTTACAGGATGACCCGATACGCAACAGTAACCAATGCATATATATACAATATTCACCCACCAATGGATTCGAACATATCAGTGGACCCTCAAAGAAAGGTTAGCCATATACTTTCGAGAAGTAACTGGAATATACGCAGTAAAAAGGAGCTTTATTCGCAGACTCCTGCGTACGATTGTGTTGATATCCATGTGAATTTGTCGACCGATATCCTTTAAAAACTGAGCCAAAACAAGGAAGGAAAATCGCGACAATGAAGGTAATAAGCCAGATGCGGCGATGTTTACACATCTGCTAGCATTTAAATTCAAGTGTTCCCCCTTTAAATTTGATAGATGACCATGCGTTGATTATTTTACCAAGTGTATATAGTCACAGGTGAGAATTACTATGCTTACACATCTGCGCGTATTCAATTTCAAGTGTTTCCCCCCTGTAAGTAATATCCACTTGGATATAACCATGCTCACAAGGTTGTCATTTTAAGATTATCCCAAGTAGTGATTAAAAGATCAACAAGTTTGAATCGCTCAAGTTATGATAAGTGGTTTGTGGTTGCCTAAAGTCCATGGACTCATCATCACGAGACTCACGACTGACTGTAGTCACCCTGTGTTGAGACAGGCTTCTACAACCTCACTACCATGTACGGATACGTTGAGTTCGTAAAGGACGATGAATTTACAGGGGAGGAGGTTTTACCAAGAATGCAAGGAAAAGGGGGTGACTGTTACGAAGGTTTTACCAGGAATGCGAGGAAAAGGGGGTGACTACTACAAAGGTTTTACCAGGAATGCGAGGAAAAGGGGGTGACTGTTACAAAGGTTTTACCAGGAATGCGAGGAAAAGGGGGTGACTACTACAAAGGTTTTACCAGGAATGCAAGGAAAAGGGGGTGACTGTTACAAAGGTTTTACCAGGAATGTGAGGAAAAGGGGGTGACTATTACAAAGGTTTTACCAGGAATGCGAGGAAAAGGGGGTGACTGTTACAAAGGTTTTACTAGGAATGCGAGGAAAAGGGGGTGACTGTTACTAAAGATATACTGAGAAATTTGAGCAAAAAGGGAGTGACTATTACTAACAATATACTGAGAAATTTATACCGCCCCTGGAACTATCCCAGAWTTATCATTTCGAATTCAAGGTATGGATTATAGAAGTCCATTACTAGTTATGCTATTCTGGTATTTATCTGGATATTTTGCCCCGGTCAATATTTAGTTCAAAATCTCGTAACCTATTCATTGGACTTTATCCGAGATAGAGTACAGCCCGATAAATAACAAGGAGGATGGTTCGTGTAAGAATACAATATATAGTTAAAACTTGAAAAAATCC